TTACCGGTGTCTGAAGAGGTAAGCTAGGTAGGCTTCAACTGGGTCCCCATCCCCGGCGCTTTTCGTTTCCGATGGCTTTCTCTCCAGGGCTCGAAGCTCAAAAACCTCAAATGGCCAGGGGCCATAACCTATGCCTCCATTTTGGGGCGGATGAACTATTTTGATGTTCACCAGGGGTACCATTTGGGTTTTGACAACCACACCAAATCGCTAGGCAAGTTTCAACTGGCCATCGCCCTCCCCGGCGCGGCTTTCTCTCCGGGGCTCAAAAACCCTCAAAACTCTCCAATCGCCAGGGCGGGACCGAGCTCTTCGAGCTGGGCTTCCGGAACGTCTTCGCGGGGCACTACCGCTTCCTGGCGCAGGCCCTGGGCCTGCGCCACGTCTTGCTGCCGCTGAAGCCGGATGCGCGGGGCATGGGCAGCCACGAGGCAGGGGGTTGGGGAGGGGGTGGTTTGGGGGGGGGCGGGGTGGTTTGGGGGGTGGTTTCCGGATTCCTTGGTTGGAAGGATTTGCTGGGTTTGGGTTGGGGTCGGTTTGGGGTTGGCTTCGATTTGCTGGCTGGTTGGCTTCAGTGTTGCGCTCTTGCTTTTTGGTGTGGGCGTTGTTGACCGCCTGCGGTGTTTTCCTGCTGTTCCTGGAGCCACGAAAAGAAGATATATACTGTGGATGAGCAGCGCGTTGGCGGTAACTCGGGCCTCTTTAGAAATGGAGCGGGACATGCTCCGGCGAAAAAAAACCACCACAACAGATCACAAAAAGGGGAGCGCCATGCTCAGAAGTCTCAGAGCCTTGGGCTGAAACCCGGGGGATTTGCGGCTTCCAACTCACCCAGAAAGTTCGGAGTCGAAAGGTGGAGCTGGAGGATCTACCTGGCGCGCTGGATCAGATCAAGGCCAGACTCGAGTCGCTGAAGCTCCGGAGCGGAGTTGGAAGCAGCTCGGGTTGCGAACACTGGTGTCCTTTTTGGTTGGTTTGTGAAACAATAGAGGGCCCGGGGGGTTTAGACCCATTTACCAGGGCCATCTATTTTTCCAAAAGGCCACCTATGGCAGTGAAGCCGTGAAGCTGTAAAGCAGGAAGGAGCAATCTGAAAAGGCTCTCAACCTGCGACTCGGAAGGCGGGAGCCAGAGTTCTACGAGCGCGTTTCTCTCGCGCAGTTTTTTTTTGAAAATGCGGCGACCCTTCGGCGACCCTTCCGCGAGAGATCAAGGCACGGTTTCGGTCAACTGCTGGCGTGGCAACGGCTACAGACTGTCCATCGGCATATGAGAGGTTTTCGAGTTTTCTACACGGGAGTTCCGGAGTTCCGATCACCTCGAGGATTTCAAGATCTGGGACCTTGACTGCCTTGGTGGCCAGACTCATGTGGCATGTTGTGATCTTGCCGTTTGGCTTGCTGGACGCTTGCAGAAACAAGAAAGCACATCAATGTGGGTTTGGGAACATGGCCACGCCATTTGGTTTGAAACCAACAATAGTGGGCCGACACGACAGTCTTGCTTCAACTTTGATTGACAGCTTCCCTGAAAAACAAGACACCCACCGAACTCTGCAGGATTTTGCCAACGCGCCTTCTCCTGATCACGAAGAAGACTTGGAGTCAGAACTGGAATAAGAACTGGAATAAGAACTGGACGAGGGAATAAGAACTGGGAAAAGGCAGCAGAAGCTGGGGTTTCAAATTTTTGATCCGATGTCCTCCAACTACAAGGAATACATACATATATATATATATATATACAATACATATATATATATACAATACATATATATATATATTATTGTATATATATATTATTGTATATATATATATATATGTATATATATATTGTTTTATTTTTCTGCCGCCTTAAGCAAATGCAAGACTGCCAGCCATTGGGGTCTTCACGTCGCAGGCAGCGCTGGAGCGGCCCGAGCTTTGAGGCTCTCCGGATGTCCGGTTTCGGGTTCCATGGACGTGCTTGGTGTCCCCAAGTCCCCAACCGGGGTGCCAATGCCAGCAGTTCTTCGCATCTTGCCCTACCTCCGGAAACTTGCTCCTGTTATTTTCATTTGGCTGTGGCTCAAAATTAAACAGAAGGGGTTACGCGGGTTTTTGTCCATGTTTCCACTTACCAGAGTTCCATCTTGGTACCGGTTTTTTGAGCCACACCCATATTTCCACCGCATCTCTCACGTCATTTGACTTGGGTCTGCATGCCAGTCGAGTGCCGTTCGTCCACCCGCGGCAATGCGCCCCGAAAGATCTACAACTTTTGACGGAGGTTGGACCCAGGGCGCCGGGCGGGCTGCCACTTGCCAACCTGCCAACTATCCGCGGGCTTTAGCCCGAACAGCTCACTGCGAAACGGGGAATCAAGCAACGCCAGTCTCAATGGGCAGTACAGCCGATATCATTTCTGAGCCCAATCCCACGCACGAAATCCAGTTCGCACCACCTAAGAAGCTCTGAAATGATGATTCCCCTGTAAATTCCAACAATGGTTTCAGCCGTGGTTTCATTTCGTGGTGCGAGCGGATTTCGCCACCATCCACAGGAACCGAAGGCACGCGTTTGCGAAGCAAAGTTCACAGAGAGCTCTGGGGCGAAATTGCGATGGGCTTCAGCTTGCGGCGATGCAAGGTGGGCCGCTTTTTTTGGCGGCCCTAGAAAGCGGGGGCCGGGGTTGGTCCAGAAGTTTTCTGAAGATGCTGCAAATGGCACTCAACACTGACGCCCCGTTTTTAGATCATTTGGTGAGGCGCGCTTGAATTGGGAACCTATGATCCAGTTTCCATCTGTTTTCCCAACCACAGCAGCATTTGCGCAAGGTCAAGAGGCGACCTGCGGCAGACGGCAAACACAACATCACCATAATTGATTCCATTTAGTTGTTTGGCCCTTGTTTCTTGCAAAACATGTGAAGTCAAGTCAGTTTTCTTCCACACGCAGGCTTCGTTTGCAGCCAATTAGGGCAAGGAACCGAAGGTTTCTGTGTACGTGCCTACGTTGCTTTCCTTTTGCGACCACTGGAGATGTTTTGCACAATACTTGTTGAGACATGGGAAGGCCGGAAGCTGGGCAGCTTAAGGTTGGGATCAGCTCGCAGGCGCTGTGTGTACTCTCCGTGCTCGCCGGGGACCATGGCGAAGGGTTGCGAGGGCGATCTTTGCCACTGTTGCACACATGTGTGCAATGTATATGTATGTACATGAAACGCAAGATATAGGTTGTGTCTGGCAAAATAGGGGACCTATGGGGACCCCCAAATAGTGGTCTTCCTTTCGACTTCTCTTCAAACCACAAGTACACCCACGTATGTATCCAGATAGAAAGTTGCACGTAACTGCGCTGTAGGCGCATATGTGCGTAATTTACGTATATACGTATGTAGCAACATAATGTACTGTGATGCGATGCGACGTGACATGAGGTGATGCGATGCAATGCGATGCGATGCGATGCATCCAATATCTCTGCCCTCTACGGTTCGATACTTCTTGAGGGAGATTTGAACATGGTTTGGTGAATAACAGAAGACACCGAAGGGAATACGATGGGCATATTGAGGGTGGCAATTGTTGATGGCGACGGGCAAGAGAGAACACGTGCGAACTTAGCAATTGGTCGTACTGGAAAGGATTCCTATGTCCTCAAATCGTCGATGCCTAGACGCGATTCTGGTCGTTCCAATGCCTGAAGGGGAAAGACGGCCGACGACGTAAAGGCTGAGAGAGGCATATTCTGGGGGCTTCATTTGTTCTCCAATCGAAGGTGACATTAGAGTGTTGGAATGAAGATCCAACAGTATGTTAGTGGCTTTTCATTAAACTTGCGGACAGGATCTTGGATCGGAGTAACAATTCTGAGTCTTCTAAGCATCCCTTGCTTCATTCAAAGATGGCTTGATCTATGTACATCCCAAAGCTGAGAACCAAGAGCGCTCTGGTTTGTCATCCTTTGTCTAGGCCGAAATACTTTCCCCACTGAGCTACCCCAAATCGTTGCAAACCACCCAAGCATCAAGACTCTTGCTTTTTTGATTGAAGCATGCGGACTGTTGCTCGGAGCAGAGTTTCGAGTTTCCAACGGAATTCTTTGCCCCGACGACAAGGTGCCGATTTGTATCCTTGAGGTGGTGAACCCCTGGCCACCTCTTGACACCTGCAGCATGCCGACATATTTGTATGGTTTCTTTGGGCATGGTTTTTCTATCATGCTTTCAAACGCCTCCCCGGCTGAGTTGGGATGTTGCCCTTAGGCCTGGGGCGGCGGGCTTGGCTGGAGCATTCGGGGCGGGTTGAAGGCGTGGCTCGGTTGGCTTCGCATTGGGAGAGGTTCGCGCCGGCGTCGGGCGGTCATCGCATGAGTGTTTCTCAAAAGAGAGGTCCTTTTCGGATGTTTTTCTTTGTTTGTTCTGAGAACAACATGAGGTAACCAACCACCTGAAGGGGTGCCGATTTTTTGAGCACCACATTGGTGGACTTGCTGGACTGCTGCCTTTGTTTTTTCTTCTTCTTTTTTCTGGTGCCCGGAAAGCAGGGCTGCGGGAGCTCAGCTCGCTGCCCGGAACCACTCCCGTTGCGTAGGTAACCACACGCACAGATCCCGCGTTACTCGCCGTGCCCAGCGCGCTCCATGCGGATTGACATGGTCGTGTCACATGCGGCTCCCTGAAACCGAAGGATGGCTTTGACTGAGGGGGTGATCGCGGTTTCAGAGAACCAGTTGGGAGAACATCATGAACATCCGCCGTGCAAGGGACATCGATGACGACATCTTGGGGCAGAGCCCCCCCACGGAACGGGCCGTTTGATATGGGCAGACATTAGACATGGGGGCCCCCCCTCGCTCAAGACCCTTCCACGAAGCCCTTCTAAGAAGGTTTAAGAGCCCTTGCCGGACTAGCCATGGAAGGCTCCGTGGCGCTATTCTATGAACAGACGAACGAGAAAAGCTTTGGAATGCCAGGGAATGCTCCATGGCGGGTTGTCTTCCCATTGGAGGCTTTCCCGGTTTTGGACCTTCGGCCATTTGTCTCAGCCTGCCTCTTCCGAAGGCTCGCGCCAGCGATGAGTCCGGAGGCACAAGTGGGTGCCCTTGCATTGGTTCGTTGCAGCCTTCCCAGATGAGCCACAATCAAAACCCGGGTAGATGAAGGACCAGAAATAGCCGCGGCGTTACGCCTTCTTTCTTCTTTAAATGGTTCTGGGTAGACCATTGTAATCTGATGTCCAAGTTTTGGGCAAGCTCAAAGGGATTCTCCACAACTGGGGTAAGGTTTGGGCTTTTAAAAGACATAGAACTGGATTCCCTGTTCAAGATACCGGAACCCAAAGGTGGCCAACACTTGGCTTGGATCCAGGAGCCCCAAAACTCAAGTGAATTTGCATCCTCGAGTGCAGGATGCAGCTCTTGCTCTTGCCTCAACAACTCACCTGTCAAGAGGTCAGCTGATTTCTCGCAGGGGTGTACCTGACTTTCGGAAGCGGCCAACTGGCAGAGGCTGGCCCTTCATCAGTGTTCAGATCGTGACCTACAAGCGCCCTGCCTTCTTGCTGCAGGCGTGGACGCTTCAAGAGAGGAATGAGCATCGATGCCTTGAGAATTTCAGGACAGAACCATCTTGATTCCCAGGCTTTCTATCGGACCCTTGCGCCCGCTCTGCTCTTGTTTCTCCTTGTCCCCTCCACCGACCAGAACCGGGTTCCACTTTTTGGCTGCCCAAAGATAGGCTGAAACCCAGGGGTTCTCCTTGGGGGGTAATGAACCAGCCCTGAGTTTATGTCTACCCCGAGCAGTTGCCATCGATCTACCAGGCGCTTCGGCAGATCGAGGCGCAGGACTACCCGGGCGCAGTGGAGGCTTGCGTCAGGGTCCCCCAAAACGGGCTTCGATGCTTTTCCTTTCTTTCTTTTTGCTGTGGGTTGTCCCGGAGCAGAAACTGGGGTTGCCCTTCAAGAAACAAAGAGCAAGACACCCTTTGGTCCGTGCGGCCAAGTCCTGGCCAGGCGATTGTCATGGACGACAGCCCCACGCCCAACCAGGAGGTTGAAGGCGAGTTCTCCTTCGCCAGGCCCAGTCTCCGCGGAATCCACGGAGAAGTTCCATTCGGGTTTTCTTGTTTGACAACACACCCTGCAGGATTTTTTTCCATCGGTATGCTTTTTTTTTGGGGCAAAGGGCGCTTAGCCTCTTGCTGCACAACTCTCTTCCTGGGCGTGGTTCTCTGCTGTTTCTTGTTGCACAACCCATGGCCCGCGCATTGGCCAGAAATTTCGCAGTCGGCCCGCTCTGGGTTCGCGATGGGCTTAGATTTGACTTGAAGTAGCGTTTGGGTGTTGTTTTTTGAAGGCCCCCCCAAAAGAAAAAATAATAAAATTGTTTTTCCTCCAAGTAAAAGAGGGTACCCACAACATCAGACACACCCATTGATTCACCCCGTCTAAAGCAACCAACGCTGGTTCGCAGGTACTTCCACCTCACTTCTCGACGCAGTATCGGGGAGAAGCGGAACCTGGCGGTGGCAGAAGCTGCGAGGTGGGACGGGAATTCTTTGCTTTCGGGGGCCGGGGGGATTTTGTTGCAACAAATCCATGCAACTAATGTTGAGATCACGGAGAGAGCTCCAGTTTCGCTGGGGGTCTCAGGTTGACCGGCGCAAGCTGTACCCCACGGGTCTTCTTGAGCCAGGTGTGTCTCTTGGGTTTGGGGGGGTGTTTCAAGTGAAGACCTGGGGCCAAACCCCGAGTTGCATCGCTTCGCCGGCAACAGACCTTTCGGTCAGGTTGGGGAAATCCGTTTTTTGATCCATCCCAAATGGTTGGTTGCCTTCCGTGGATTTGAACATCCACCAAGAAAGGCAGTAGGAGATCGGACGCAGGTCCGGTGCCGACATCATCTGCATCTGGGATGATGACGACGTCTTCACCGTGGATCGGCACCCTGGCACAAGCTGGACATCTGTCAGGCTTCCCCTTGGCAGACTCTGATACTACGGTGGATATGCGAAATCCTGCACCACTTTGAAACCATGGGAAACCATTGTTTGTTGGTATTTGCCGCGGAATTAACATTCCAGGGGTTTCTTAGGAGGTGCGAAATGGATTTCGTCCATCCGCAGTACGTTGGCTTCAGCAAAACATTTTGGTTTCAAGGAAAGCCCGAAGCGAACCAGGCATTGGGATCAGGTTTGGACATATGGACTCGTGCAAGGAATTGAGATCCGGCCGGCTTCCACGTGAGCGTGCCCTGTTTTTAGGGGACCCTTCCCAAAGTAGTGGCTTTGCTTTCAACACCAAAACAAAAATGTACCCCCCCCAACCCCCCCCCCCAAAAGGACGCACCCACATAGGAAAGTATATAATGTATCTTTTAGGAGGCTCGGGGCTCAGGATCATTCCCCGCATCGTTTGAAGCTTTTCCGGTCTAGGGATCGTGCAATTGCCGCTTCAGCTCACAGAGTATACCCAAAGTGTACGCAACGTTCTAGGGGCTGTTTCCCCTGAAGTTTTGATGGTTTTCTGAAAAGAATCATTTTTGTAAAGAATGGGGAAGTGTCCCCTAGAAACGTGTTTTAGATTCTGTAGATCTTGTGTTGTCAGGCCGCTGGTTGTCGCGCGGCACTGCCGAAAAGTGGATGTCGCGTGAGTTTGAATCCTCAGCACTCGCTCCCGCTGCCTCTCCTGTTGAACCCATCCTTCGGGAGGCGCGGTGGTGTTGGCCACTGATATCGCCGCGTTCATTTTCCGACAGACCAAACCGCTGTGAGTTGGCAACCTCAACTTCTGAACCTTCTCATGGCAAAGCCACACTTTTTCCGTTCTTAGACTCGCGTTGTCAAAGTTCGGCTTCTCCTTTTGTGGTATGCCCTGCAAAGAAAAACGCAAAAAAACAAGTGCCCTTAGACTCGGATCAAACTTCGGTTGCTCCTTCGTGGTATCCGCCAAAAGACGGGGCGGCGCCTTGAACCTGGCGAGGCTCCGGCAGCAGGTGGCGCGCATGGTCCAGAGGCCTGCGAACTGCTCCAGTATCCAGGCGCGAGGGTTTCCAGTCGATGGGTTTGCTCCCAGGTTTCCCTTTGAACCAAAAAGAAGGCAACACCCTGTTAAGGGTCCTGGCTGGTGATGACGAGCGGGTGCTTGCTACAGCCTCAACTTGCCGGAGGCTCGATGTTTGGACTTATGGGCGTTTTGCTCTCCAGACAAACTCACCCCAAAAAAAGACAGACACACGAAGATCACTGCAAGCATTCGGACGAGCGCGACAAGGCAAGTTGGAACGGGTGGGACATCCGGGAGGTTGGTTCTTTCCGTCAAACTGCCTGAGAGATTGCACAACGACATAGTGCCAAGAGATTGCATCATGCACGTTTGAGAGAGATTGAGATGAGACAAGTCACAGGTCACCAAGAGATCCCTGGAGAGATTGCGCAGAGACATTATCACCCAGGCATGACGATGGCGCGACGGAACGTCACAGAGAGATTGATCGGAGATTGCTGGGAGATGACTGTGAAAGATTGCTCAACCAAAGCACCGACTCAGAGAGATTACGGAGAGGGGCCCCGCCACACGTTGCCCCCCTTGGTTGCTCATTCCCTTCCCTTTGCGTGTGTCAGGGCTAGTTTCCTTTCAGATGTTTCATCATTTGCACCATTCGAGGGCGAGTTTCCGGTGATTAAATGCCGGTGATTGAAAGGGACATCTGCTGGCCGAAATGCAAGTGAACAGTTATCCATTTTAACGTAACATTTTTGGAATTTACCCATACAATCATTGTCTTCTCTAAAAGCTCTTAACAAATGAAACTAATTCGCTGTTTTGTTTCAATATCTTTTGGTTTTGTCAACTAGCAGTTGGATTCAAAGGGACATCTGCTGGCCGAATTCTTACCATGCAGGGAGCAGTCTGAATATTGGTTGAGGTTGAGCCTATCAAAAAGCTGTGCACAGGTCGCCTTTGTGGCGGTCTTGGCGTCGGGGAAGCTCTTGCGGTGCAAGGGCCTGCCGCTGCCCTTCGAGAACTCCTTCTGCTTCCGCCGGGCGTGGCTGGAGAGCAGGCGGGAGAGAGAGAGAGGTTTCTGCAAGGGGGGGTTGGTTTATTGGGTTATCGAATTCTAGGTATGTCCATATGGTACAACCCCCCTCCTGGTGCCTAGGTTTTGCTTGATTTCAGTCATTTTTGCAGGCACTTTTGTATTTTTTTGTCCAAACTTGGGCACCAAGGAAGGGGGGTGTGCCACAATTCTACAATTAAGAATTCTGGACCCAAGATTGCTGGGAGACGTTCAATGTGACAATCTGGAATTCAGGATTCAATTTTTCAATACAATCTTTTCTGGAATTCTGAAATATTGAATCTTGCATCCTTTTTTTTTAACTGGGAATCAAGATTCAATATTCAAGATTGAAAAATAATCTTTTTTTCTGGGAATCTTGAATCTTGAATATTGAATCTCATATATATATATATATATTTTTAATAGATCTGGTATTCAAGATTGAAGAGTCATTTTGTTTTTTAAATTCCGGGGTTGTCCCAATACTCTCGGTGTTCAATAATAGTCTCGGAAAGGAACAACTTGAACATTTTAGGGATTGACCAGGATGGATGATTCTCATGAAAGTTGTTGTTTGTGCAGTCCTCAATATTGAATCCTCAATCCAGTGGTAAAGCACTTTCGATTGAATGTCGTTTGGGTTTGGCCAGGATTGACTATTCTGAGGAAAGTGTTCTGTGTAATCTTCAATCTTGAATCTTCCATCCAGTGGTAACATACTTTCAAGCGCTTAGCGATCCAGTGGAAACACTTTCAAGTTATTGGTTAGACAAACTTTCAAGTGCTTTTGGTGAGCTTCATGTCAGTTATGCTTGTGTTGACCCTTTTCCAGGAGGTAAACAAAGGTAGGTGTAATGCTTAAACACACTGTATTGTCCAGTATTTTATGAAGAGGCGCAGGATCATTTGGGGTACCATATATGTGTATATGTGCATATATAGATATACATATGTATGTATGTTCACACACCGTCCCCCCCTCTTGAACTATCTGTCCGCATTTGCTCATCTACTATCTCCACCTTTTGAGATAGAATTAGTTTTGTTTCCTGTGCAAATAGAACTTTAAATGCAACTGATTTAGCTAGAATCCCTGCTTTGAGATAGTTTTAGAATCTGAACCTCTCTTCCCTTGAACTTTCCCTTTGGAACACCGTCTAATAAGTTCAATGTCGGATTTTTCTTATGCTACAAAAGGGCCAGAATGTGAATTACCACAGATCATATTTTGAACTTCTTTGTAGAAGTCCCTTAACTGTTTAGCCATATTTAATACGAATTGTATTTGAGAAGTAGTCTCTATTTAATTGTCATTATCAAAAGCTGATTGAATTGTGTTCGAATTAGACTATATTTAACACTTAGATTGTATTTGGGAATAAACCCCTATCTAACTTCTTTTGTTAAAGATTGGTTGGAGTTTACCCGAAACTATATCTCCATTTTCATGTAGCTCCTATTTGGAAAGGATTTGCATATTTAAGCTGTAATCGAACATGAACACATTTTTGAAAGCTATTTCCTTACTAAATTATATGCAAGATTTCAATTCTAGTTGAAGTAAAACCTTATTTGGAAAGCGTGTCATATTGGGACATTATGGGGGACTCCAGGCAATCAGGCTTTGGGGACCCACAATGGGAAATTTGGAGAATATGAATTTTGAGATTCTAGAGTTGTCATCCGCAAGAAGCAGTAAAAGTGCTTAAAATCTATTGCAAAAATTCCAAACTCTACAGCCTGCGCGCTGAAATCAAGCAAAACCTAGGCACCGGGGGGGGGGGGTAACATCCGTATATACATATATATGTATGTATATATATATATATGCATATATGGTTCAGCCCCCCGCCCCCAGCCCCCACATCTCCCCACCCCCCCGGGTTCGGGCTCGGTGGGGTAGGGTGGTTTACGATTAGTTTAGGGATGCATTTTGGGAACAACCTGCCTGGCCTGTGGAGTGATGCTAGGTCTTGCTTGCTGTTTGGTTTGGTCTTTGTTGGCTTGCTCACCAAAGGACATTTAGAAAGGAACTTCTGTGGCACGACACTAATTGAAAGCTAGCTCTCTGACAAAAGAAAGGAGACAAATAAGAACGCATGAGACAACTAGGGAATGCCCCCAAAAGTGCGGCTTTCTGCGGATTTCAGTTCCTTCGGATGCTCGAAAGTTAGTCTGATGCCGATGCCTGGTCGGAGCGCTCTTGGAGCCTTGCTCACACCCAAGAATTCCTAATGATTTTCCAGTTTGAAATCAAATATCTATTTCGTTTCGAAGATTTTTGGGTTTGTTTTGTTGCTCACATATTTTCAGGGTGAAGGCATGCCCATACACACACACACACGCAAGCATCTTGCTTCGCTATGCGTTTCATTTGCTAAACTCGTCACCAGCACAGTCAGCAGCCTCGGTCTATGTCAACCCGCATTAGACTTTAAGCGGGCTGCTATGAGTGGTCAGAAATTTGTTGCGTCTCTTTGGTTTCTTCTTTCCATTTCATGGCTGTTTGGCTCAAGCCTGATGAACTGCGCAGAGAGGTGCTTGCTGGCTTGTGGTCATTGTACGTCCACGCGAACAAACACAAACGCAAATCGACACACACACACACAAACAAACGCAAACACAAACACAAGCACAGACACAAGCACAAGCACAAGACCAGACAAACACACAGACGCAAACACAAACGCAAACACAAACGCAAACACAAACACAAGCACGAACACACTCAAGCATAAAAGCACACAAGCAAACACACAAACAACCACACACACAAACGCACACACACACACAAACGCGCAAGCAAACTTCCAAACAAACACAGACAATCCTATTGCGAACACGAACACGAGGACGAGCACGAACACAAACACACAACACTTACACGAACACGAACACAAGAACATGCACTCAAACACACAAGCACGCAAGCACACAAACACACAAACACAAACATACACAAACACACAAACGCAAACACACAAACACACAAACACACAAACACACAAACACACAAACACACGAACGCACGAACACACAAGCGCACAAACATGAAAACACACACCCACACACACACACACCCACCCACCCACGCACGCAAGCACGCACCAACCCACACACACACACACACGCACACGCCACACAAACAAGCAAACAAACAAGCCAACCAACCAATAAAGCAACTAAGCAAGAAAGCAAACCAAATAAACAACAACAAAACAAACAAACACAAACAACAAGCAGTCAAACCAATCAAGCGCGCAAAAAAGCAAGCAAACAAGCAATCAAGCAAAATTAAACAAGCAACCAAGCAACCAAGCAACCAAGCACACAAGCGAATAAGCAAACAAGCAAAAAGCAAACAAACAAACAAACAAACAAACAAACAAACAAACAAACAAACAAACAAACAAACACACACACACAAACAAACCAACAAACAAACAAACAAACAAACAAACAAACAAACAAGCAAGCAAGCAAGCAAGCAAGCAAGCAAGCAAACAAGCAAGCAAGCAAACAAACAAACAAACAATAGGCAAGCAAGAAGCAAGCAAGAAGCAAGCAAGCAGGCAAGCAAGCAAACACACAAACAATAGGCAAGCAAGAAGCAAGCAAGCAGGCAAGCGAGCAAGCAAGCGAGCGAGCGAGCGAGCGAGCAAGCAAGCAAGCAAGCAAGCAACAAGCGAGCGAGCGAGCGAGCAAGCAAGCAAGCAAGGAAGGAAGGAAGGAAGGAAGCAAGCAAGCAAGCAAGGAAGGAAGGAACGAAGGAAGGAAGGAAGGCAGCAGGCAGGCAGGCAGGCAGGCAGGCAGGCAGGAGCGCAAGCAGGCAAACAAGCGAGCAAGCAAGCAAGGAAGCAAACAAACACTGAAACAGTCAAGCGCACAACAGTATGCAAACAGTAAAGAAAGAAGCAAAGCAACAAAGAAGCTACCAAACAAAGCAACAAAGAAGCAAAGCAGGACAGAAACAAAGAAACAAAGCAAGGGAGAAGCAAAGAAGCAATGAAGCAGCAAGGAAGGAAGCAAGCAAGCAAGCAGGCACGCAAAGGAACAAACAAGCAAGCAAGCAAGCAAGCCAGCAAGCAAGCAAACCAACCAACCAACCAGCCAGCCAACCAACCAATCAACCAACCACCCAACCAACGAGCGCACAAACGAAATACAAGCAAACAAACAACAAAACAAACAAACAAACCAGACCAAGCAACAACCAACAAACACAAATCAAAAAACAACAAAGCGCATCTCAAAGCAAATCAATAACAAAAATTAAGCGAGCGCACAAAAACAACCAGTCAAAATCAAAGAACGTGAGACAAACGCAAGACAAACAAGCAAACAACCAAGCAATCACAAACTGACAAGCAAACTCACAACAAACGAACAAACAAACACATGAACGAGCGAACGAACGAACGCACAACCAAGCAACAAACAGCACAACCAAAAACGACAAACAAGCAAAGACAAATCTATAATTCAAAGCAAAGCAAAGCAAAGCAAGCAACTAAACCAACTAACAAACAAGTAAAAGAAAACAAAAGCAAGCCAACAGGCAAACAAACAAACAAACAAACAACCAAACGAACAAACGAGAGAATGAGGAAGCAAGCAAGTAAGCAAGCAAGCAAGCAGGCAAGCAAGAAAGCAAGCCTGAAATAGAAAGCAAAGGGCGGGGTCGCTAATCTTAAGACATTTCGTGAGTTACGGTTACGGGTCAACCTTTCTGGTTACTGCAAAACAAGGCCAAGTACATCCAAATAAGTCCAAATAAAAGCAATAAACAAGTCCACGCAAGGCGAACCCCTCCAAGCACACACCCTAAGGCACTCTGCAGGAAACAATAGAAGTCAACACACACACACACACGCCCACACACGCCCACAAGCGCACACACACACACATGCTTATAGACCAAACACTGCCTTATGCTCGCAAGGTTCGAACACTCAAAAAAAACAGTGTTTTCTGACTTCGAACAAATATCGGCATGAACAACCCAGTGGTCTTGGCAAGCTTTGAGGGGTTTGCAGGAACATTGGATGGCTGAATCCTGGCCACCCATCAAAGTCAGTTCGAAGGCAAACATGAAAACACACGGCTTTTGTAGCTGGGGTGGGGGTGGTGTGGGGGTGGCCACATGTGTACATATATATATATATGTATTTAGTATGTATGTATGCATATGTAGATAGATAAGCTCTTTCTTGGCCCAATGAACACGCAACGCGAGGCCTCGCTTCAGCAACTGCAGCCTGGGTGAGGGCAACGTGGTCTTCGAGGGCCTGGAGGACTGGTTTTCGGAGGCTCAGCCGATTGATGGGGAGGAGCTCCCGTTTTTGTACGTGCGCACGGAGCGCTCCACGTCCCCGGACGATGCGCTGGAGCGGGCTTTGGGTGGGGGTTGAAGGGTGGGGTTCTTTGGGCTTGTTGGGGGTGGAAAGGGAAATCACAGGAAGCGGGTTGGGTAAACCCACTTGGGCTTGGGAGGCTTAGGAGTTTTTGATGGGGGAAACGGAGCAACTCAGAGAAACCGACATCAACTGTTCCGGCCATTTTCCCTGGACAGACGTTTGTCGCCCAAAAACCAGAAAAATATGGCCTTTGTGTTCCCAAAGGTTTCGGTCAAAGGTTTCCAAGCAAAAACGCAAACTCGAAATTCCGAGCCCCTGGCCTTCTGGTTTTTGTTTTTCTTTTGTCGCCACAAAAAATCGAGCAAAAAACCAAACCAACGGACAGTTCGTAACCTCTCGGCCCGCCTCCTAACAGATGGGTGAATCAGGCAACTCGGACCACCCGGGAGTTCTAATTTGGCTGTGAAAAATAGGTACCCAAAATGGAACCATGGTAAATGGACACATGGACTAAAGCCTGCGGTCCGATTCCTGCGTATTTTTTGACCCATACTCATTTAGCCTCAGGGGCCCATGGCGTCGTAGGGCGCCTCGGGGAAGGAGCCCTACGAGGTGCGGTCCATGATCTCGGAGCCTTCGCGCCTGGACCTCCCCCTGCTGTCGCTGGCACGGAGCTTCCTGCGGCACCGCTGGCCGGAGCTTGGGGGCCACGGTGCGCGGGCGCTGCAGATCGCGCAGGACGCAAGACGGGGGGAAATATGGAGGTCCGTCGGGTTCCTTAGACACTTGGTGGATCTTTCACTGCTTCTTTTGTTTTTGTTTTTGTTTGAAAGTCTTTTTTCCTCTTTTCTGGCGCAGAGGTTCCTTACTCGGACCTGTCAGATGGATTTCAGGAGGCCCTGCGCGCCGCCTGGGCCGCGGACCTGGCCTGGATGCGGAACGTCACAGGCGGCGCGGCGCTGGCGCCGGCCTACTGGGCGGCCCTGACGGCGGACGCGGAGGCGCCGGAGGCGCCGGAGGCGGGCGAGGCCTGGGGCGGCGGCGGCGGGGCGGAGGACTTGGGGCCGGAGGCTGCCCTGGAGCTGCTGGAAGCTGGCCTACAGCGCTTCGAGCGAATGGGCGGAAGGGAAACAAAACAAAGCAAAAAGGGCGCTCAAAGCCGCCCCTCCGGGCGGTGTTGGTGTGTGTGTGTGTGTTGTGTGTGTGTGTGTGTTGTGTGTGTGTGTGTGTGTGTGTGTTGTGTGTGTGTGTGATTTTGGTTGTGCCAAAGGTCGATTGAGTGTCGATTGGGGGATATGGGCAGGCAAATGTCAAGCGACATATTTCTACTCATTTTTGTCTGTGCATCCCACCCCTAGGGGAAGTGGAAAGCCACCAGCTCTGTGTTGAGGCTTCACACCTGTCATTGCGACTCCACGGCGTGGTGGGTGTGCCTTTTTGATGGTACCCATGGTTCCCTGAAAGTGGTTTGATTGGGAAACCAAACATGTTTTGTTGTTAGTTTGTTTCTTTCTTTCTTTCTTTCGTTCATTTATTTAGAATGTGTTTCTTTTTTCCGGGGGGGGGGGGGGAGCTGGGCCCCTTTTTGAGACAACCCCACAATACGTGTTGCAGACGATTTGGCTCACCAGCGCTAAGCTCTAGCTCTTGGTATGTGAATCTCTTTACCCAAAGGAGAGGAATCGAGCAGCGCCCAAAGGTGGTCGGTTCTACCTGGCTTCGTTTTTAGCTTTTTAGTGTTTAGTGGGGGATTTCCGACTTTAACCCACTAACAGTTAAACCTGTAGCGGGGTATATGCTCCTTTGCCATGGAGCCTAAAGTCAATGGTTTTGGTCGCTGCTCACTGGTTGTGGGCATGCAGAAGCATTGGGTCGATTGACCAACTTGGGCCCTTGTCTTTTCTGGACATCGACCTTGCAGCGGCACTCTACCTTTCCTGTTCGCTTGGCAACCTTATCCCCAACAAGCGTGGAGTTGCACAGACAGCACTCTCTGGAACTTTGCGATCCTCCAACAAGCAGATGAGCTTTCTCTCGATGGGGAAACCCCTCAACTGGGCGGTTCCCTTTCCCCCAAGAAGGGACCCTTAAAGACAGACAACGGTTCAACCGACAGACACAGAGACCATACTGCGCCGGGCGCCGGGCGAGTTTGCGCATGGCGGACGCCAAAGTGCGGAAGAAGCCCAGCTCCAAGAAGGAGACGAAGACGGAGCCAAAGGCAAGACTGCGGAAAAAAGAAAAAAACAGAAAAAAAGAAGGAAAAAAAAAACAGAAACACATAAAACAAAAAGAAAAAAAAAATCAAGAAAAAAGAAAAAAAAGGAAACAAAGGAAAAAAAAGCAAAACCGCTTTCAGCCGAAGGAGGTCCTCTCTACCGCAAGCATGCATTCTGGGCCCGCGAAATCGGAGGTGCCCCTGTTGACTTGATCTGCGGTCAATGACATCTCAAGTGTACCTCTGCGCTTTGAGCATGCGCAACTTCTGATTACACCTCCAGAACTTTGCACATTTGCACTTTCCAGCAATGTTCTAAGAGTGAAGCCAGAAGCACTACGGGCGACTTCTGGTGTTTCTTTGGGGGCTTGAACTACCCACCCCCAAAATCACACCCCTTTTGGTTTGGGGAACCCCCAAACAAGCCTGTTTCAAATTGGGTGATGCGCCCAGGGTTTTCTTGACCATACTTGTGGGCAAATGGTCAGCCACCCCCTGATCCCAATCCAAACAAAGCTGACTTGGGATGAAGGGAATCTTTATCCAGCTTTCCCTTGGGTGAAAACCCCCAGGCTCAGGCAGAAGAGCCGCTGAGAATCTGGGGCTTCAAGGTGAACCCCAGCGCGCTCCCGGAGCTGCTCCTAGTCCTGGCCATCGCCGCGGTCTTCGGGGCCGTCTGCGCCTCCCGTTTGGACATGTCCAGGCGAGGCGGCGCAGTCCGATCCAACCCCGAAGGAATGCGGATGGACGAAAATCTAAGGGTTTTTGTATTACGCCCACTGGGAAATGACCCCATTTGAGCATATTTCCGGGATAAAATCATGTTATTTTGGACCATTTTGGGCCATTTCCCAAGGGTGTAATCCCAGGATGTAATACAACAACCCTTAGAGAAAACCGTTCGCACCGCTTTGAAACCATGGTTGAAACCATTGTTTGTTGGTACTTACAGGGGACACATCATTCTAAAGTTTCTTAGGTGGTGCAGGATTTCGTTCATCCACAGTATGGGTGCGGAGTTTTATTTTATTTCCCCAGATAGCTGAAAGCTATAGGGGTTCTAACTTATGATGAAGAGGGGAAGGTGATAGATTGACGGCAGGGTGTGCAGTTGGGGGTGCTGCTTAGGTGCTGGTTTGAGGTGGTCGTGGCGGTGTTTTTTTTGCGTGATTGACGGCTGGTGCTGGGGGGCATGCAGTTTGACGTTCTGGTGCAGGTGTTGTTTGAGGTGCTGGTGACAGTGGGGGTGCGTTTTTGCGAGATTGACAGCCGGTGCTGGGGGGTGCTGGTGCAGGTGCTGTTTGAGGTGCTGGTGACGGTGTGAGCGTATGTTTGCGAGATGGCGGTCGGGTGCTAGGGGGCATGCTGGGTGCTGGTGCAGGTGCTTGTTGGTGTGTGGGCGCATTCTTTTGTGAGATGGCGGCGGCATGGGGGTGCTGATGCAGGCGCTGCCTTGGGGTGCTGCTCAATCAAATCCTGCCCCTTTTCAACTTTCCCACTAATGAAGCGAACAACACTTCAGGTTGTTGCTCTTTCAATTACATCCAGAAGTCGCTGAATTTGATATGATCTGGCCACCAACGAGCAGTGTGCAATCCTCGCCTGTTTTAATTTTATGCTATCTGGGGTCTATGCTGGAGTAATTTATGAGGCTCGTGCCCTTTCCGAGTGCTTTTCAGGGAAGCCGTTCCCTTCAAACCAATCTTATTCCGAACTAGGCGCGAGTTCACCGGGCTCTTTCAACACGATCCGGCTTCTTTAAGCCCCAGCCCGTCGCAACACATTGGGAGCCCTGCAGGCAGAGTGCAGTGATCTGCGGGCTGTTCGTTGCCCTCCAGGCGCAACGCATCATCCGCGGGATTCGCGACTGGGTGGCCTACAAGACCTGAAGTGACGCTTGGACCGCTTGCCATCTGCGTCGCGCTTGTAAACAGATAGGTTCAGTGGCACGGTCACCGGTCCGTGGTTGCGCCTCGAACAAGTTCGCGCGGCTTGGTGAAAATGCCCACATCGTCTGTGCGCGGAACAAAACAAGGTGCAGTTCAGCGTCACATGCAGGAAGGCGACCATGTGCAGTCCCCCGCGACATTGGGAGACACATGTTGTTGGCTCAAACCTGCTTGTAGTGCCTGTGCACCTCCCCCTGCTTTGGTCGGCAACTCGCTGTAGCTGTCTTGGCTCACAGTTTTGGACAACCCAACAGCCAACCGCCAAATGTCGCCGTGGGCGTGGAGCATATTGGAGTTCCGGTTTCGATCTGCAGTGGATTTGGTTGGATGAAGCGAACTGGCTCCATGCTTCAGGCACCCTTTCGACCCATTCGAGGCACCAGAAAAGCAGCCCAGTCGCCCAGTCTCAGCCCAAACTCCGCCAGCTTTGGTCTCTTCTGACCCCAACCTCAAGTTGGACGCCAACCAAACCGGGACCCAGAGACCCAGCAGCCAGGATTCGTCTCAAACCAGATCGCACGATCGCACGAGCCGATCCTCAGAGCTTGCCATGCAAGCGGTGATCCGAAACTCGGAGAAGCGCCTCAGCGAGCAGCGCAAGTGCAACGAGGCCGGCGTCTTTTGCGTCGGCGGAGTGGGCGTCGGCGTGAGGTGCCCGGTTTGAGTGAAGGGAAACTGAAGGAAAACTGGGCTTTGTTTGCGAGAGCCCGGAAAGTGATTTTGGGTAGCCATCACCTGGGTCCATCACTGAGTTTCCATGAGTGATGCTTCGAGAATTGGAGCCTCTGGAGTTTGGCTTCTGATGCTTCACGCGTTGACCAGCGTTTGGATCCGATGTCAAGCTCGGCCCGTTTGGGGCGGATCGGAAATTCTTTGCAGAGCGCCCGAAGGATTGACTTGCTGTCGATCCAAGCCAAGCGCTGGAAGACTAGGTGTCCTTTTTGGTTGGTTTGCTTAAAAAACAGAAGGTGGTTCAATCGTCCCCCAGGGCCATCTATTTTCCCAAAAGGACACCTATGGCTGGAAGACGATTGAAAGTCAAAGATCACTCTTGGCTTCTGGGTTTGGGAGGCTTTCCCTTGAGTTCCCTCTCCGAGACTCGGGTTCTTTCGTCTTTTTACCACCATACGAGGCAATGATATTTTAATACCCTCAATTCTCTCGATCTTTGCCGTACTCAAACCTACACATGCACATACACATACACATACACATACACAGCACGACACCGCACCACACAGCACAGCACCACACAACACAACACAACAACACAACACAACACAACAACACACCACGCTACACAACACAGCACAACACAACACAACACAACACAACACAACACACCACACAATACAACACACAATACAACGCAACGCAACAAAACACACACACACACAGAAACAAACACAACACACACAAACAGACACACACACACCACCGCACACACACACACACGCATACATACATAGCACAATCACAGCACAACACACCACAACGCACCCACACACACACACAACGCAACACAACACAACAACACAACACAACACAACAACACACACACACAGAAACAAACACAACACACACAGACACACACCACCGCACACACACACACACACGCATACATACACAGCACAAGCACAGCACAACACACCACAACGCACCCACACACACACACACAACGCAACACAACACAACGCACCACAACATAACACAACGCAACAAAACACAACACAACACACCCCACCACTTCAAAACAACACACAAACAGCCATAGATATACACATACACATGATGCGCAGGCGTTTTGTGCTTTTCGCTATTGCTTCCCTAAAGGCATTGGATTGGCCGTGGTGTCCGTGCCAAAAAATGAGATTTGCTTTTTTGGATGGCGCTCTTCAGGAAACCTGAAAAGGACACTCGCCTCTGTTTGTCCCAAATTTGAGACAGACCCATATGGTCGTGGAAATTAAGTTTGTGAGGGTGCCATTGTTTCCCGTTCTTTTTCTTGCGGGACACCAAAAGGACCGTCACCATTTTGGGGAGGGTCCAAATCTGAAGAGAGACAAGGCATCCAGGTCTAAAATCGTTCGAGTCATCGAGTCGAGTCGAAATCGTGTCGAGTCGAGAAATCGCAGGAGGCGCGGGCCCGACAGCTGCGGAGCAATGTGTCCGTGGCCATGTGCGGCTTGCTGCTGCTGGGCGCGTTTGCGGCTTGGGACCCGGAGGGTAGGAACTTCTTGCCCTCAAACGCTCTGGCTCCTTGTTTCATCGTGTGATTTTCAGGCTGACTCAGACATTGTTTCCAACGCAGAAGTGTGAGCTGATTGGTCCCTCGCACGAGCCATGTGCACAAAGCGGGCCATGTATGTTCCCGCAAGCTGCTGACAACATGTTTGTAGACCTTGCAGGCCGTCTTGATCTCACCGAAAATGACACGTGCAAAAACACGCGGCATGAGAGACAGTTCCTTGAAGTTTTGCGGCATCCCAGCTTTCGAACTTTGGCTCAACAAATTGCCCTTTGTTAGATGTCTTTGAGGCTTCTAGGGCCTGATGATGACGAGGAACAGCAGTCATTACACACGGCAGCACGATCCGCTTTGAAATTGCCATTTGCCTCGTTCTCGAAAGGTCGTCGCAGTTCTGCAAGGGGATGCTGAAAACGACGAAGAATGAGACGGTCTTGTGTTCCGTTAGTGGCAATGCTCCTCAACAAAGAGCACTGGCTCTTGGGATTGTCAATGTGACATTCAGGCCACCAACGTCGTCCTCTTGCAGTCCGTGCTGAAGGATCCTCTGGGAGGTGCGCGCAGACTCGCGTAACTCACTGACCGCCAGAGCCAAAGTTTTGCCACAGGCGAGAGGACGAACCGCTTCATCGGCCCCCTGCTGCGTGAGAAGTTGAAGTGCGCCCGGGTAGATGCTATGATGGGGCTGGGTATGTTACGGATGATCTGCCGCAGTTTGCCAAGGTTTTGTGGTAGGATTTGGTTTGCCTGCAGTATTGGGGCATCCACCACAACACCGCTGACTGCAACGTGTCTTCCGCCCTCACAAACACGACCCTGACCCACATTTGCATGCGCACGGTGTTTAAGTCTAGCACGATGCGATCAGTACCAATTGAACTCTGAACGTATGCTTGCAGGAGGCTTGCTCACGAAGGCCGAAACCGACTCACCGGCAGACACGACGATGACAGGCAAGCGAAGTTGCTCTCAATTTGTTGGGTGCTCGACTGATGTGGCGTCAGTGCAGCTTGAGCACTGGCCATTTGGTCTTGACAGGCAGACGCATACCGTGTCAAAAGGGTTTTTCGGAATGGCGGCTTTGCGCCAAATGGGTTTACTTGTCCAAACCACCGAAAAGTTGGCCACCCAGTTGCACACGTTCTATAGGGATGCATCCACTGACGTGAGGCCGCGCGCTGCCCGCTCCTCAACATGGCGTTGCCAAGAAAAGTATTGGCAGTTCTGGCCAATTGCCTGTTCAATCATCCTCCTTGAGATGTACATATATATATATATATATATATATTACATACATATATATATATAATTATTTATATATACAATAATTATATATATGTACATACATACATACATACATATGAATAGCCGTGCTTGTTCATTCTGTAGATGGGCCTGGCCCCTGCCAGCCATGGACATCCAGTCAACTCACCTGAGGAGCAGCAGATGGCCTGGGCTCGAGCCGCTGCCACGGCAGGCGCTGGGCGCGCGCCCGTCGGTTTTTTTCACCCGCCAAATGGGCGGCTCGTTCAACAGGGGATCATATTTACACATGTCATCTCCTTATCTATCTGATTAAAGGTTCATGGCTTTCTAGACGGGGGCCCAGGATATAAGCCAAGGAGAAGGCCTCAAGGATTTAAGGGGTTAATAAGGCTGGGTCATTATGTTGACGGTTTCTGGGGGTTATCAAAGGCAGACATGGGGCTTGTTTCGCTTTAAGCCACCACTTAGGGGGTGACTTTGACCATGGTAAAAAAATAATGAGGCCAGTTCAGTTTGTAACGTTCGGACCCCCCAACATGGACATTTTTCGGTTTTCCGTTTGGTTTGCAGCAAACTATTGAAAAAGGGTGCCCTCAAACACAGAGAGAGTGAGAGAGAGAGAGAGAGATCGGCCTAGCCACTCTTCGCTTTTCGAGAGCCGAACCAAGCTTTGCTTTTCGAGCGCACTTCAGGCTCCAAGATCTCGGGGCACGTGGTGCAGCAGGTGGCGGAGAATCTCAAAGGCGCGACTCATAAAACGAACCGGTGGAAGGGGTCAGGTCTTCTCGGTGAACAGGTGTGGTTTGTGGAGCGGTTGAACGATTTTGGAGCTGTGGGTTTTCAGAGGGTGGTGTGGTTTTTAACTATTTTGGAGCTGTGGATTTTCAGAGGGTGCATTTTTCTTTCGCGTTGCAGCTGCGGGCATCCCAGCTTCACCTTTCGAGCCCGATGGCTCGCGCGAAGTTCTGCTTGAGGACTGCCCCCGATTGTAAGGATGTCTATTGACATACATAGGTGGCCTTTTTGGTTGTTTTGCTAGAATAATAGCATGGCGATTCCTGGTTTACCTGGTGGTTTAATCGTCTACCAGGGAAATCCATCCATTTCCCCTAAAAGGACACCTATGACCCTATATTCTCGAAGCCTTAGTTTGGGGAGGACATGGGGTCCCAACTTCCCTATGTTGACGTACCTCTTCTGACCAAACTGTTTGGCAGCTGGGGTAAAGATCGCGTGAAAGCGTGCCATGGCCACGCCAGAAGCCGCGCCCAAGGAACATCTAAGTGGTGTCTAAAGGGAGCACGGCACTTGTGCAAGGAAGTAAGAAAGCGTAAGTAAACTAGGTAAACTAAGTAAAGGAAGTAAAGTAAGTAAATAAAGTAACAACAAGTAAGCAAAGTAAGTAAAGCAAGTAGGGGAAGTCAAGTAAGTAAAGTAAGTACAGTAAATAAAGCACGTAAATTAAGTAAAGAAAGCAAAGTAAGTAAAGCACGTGACTAAGCCAACAAGTAGCAACACGGCAAGTAAGTGAGTAAGTAAAGCTAAGCAAAGCTAAGTAAAGCCAAATGAGGGTAAGTATAGCTAAGTAAAGGTAAGTAATTAAAAGCAAGTAACTAAGAAAGTAAGCAAGTAAGCAAGTAAGTAGACTAAGTAGAGTAGAGTAAAGCAAAGTAAAGGAAGCGAAGTAAGTAAAGCAAGGTAAGTCAAGCAAGTAAAGTAAGTGCAGTAAGCACAGTAAGTTAAAAAGTAAAGTAAGTACGTACGTAGAGTAAGTAAAGCAAGTACGCAAGTACGTAAGAAACAAAGAAAGCAAGCAAGCAAGCAAGCAAGCAAGCAAGCAAGCAAGCAAGCAAGCAAGCAAGCAAGCAAGCAAGTGAATGAGTATGTCAGCAAGCAAGCAAGCAAGCAAGCAAGTAAGTAAGTAAGTAAGTAGGAAATTAAGTAAGCAGAGCAAAGCAGAGCAGAGCAACTCAGGCAAGTAAAGTAAGTAAAGTAAGTAAAGTAAGTACAGTAGGTAAAGTAAGTAAAGCAAGTAAAGCAAGTAAAGCAAGTAAAGCAAGTAAAGTAAGTAAAGTAGGTAAAGTAAGTAAAGTAAGTAAAGTAAGCAAGGTAAGTAAAGTAAAGTAAAGTAAAGTAAAGTAAATTAAAGTAAGTAAAATAAGCAGAGCAAGCGAAGCAAGTAAAGTACGTAAAGTGAGTAAGGAAGCAAGTACAGCAATGTAAAGGACGTAAATATGTCAGCAAGTAGTAAAGAAACAAGTAAGTAAGTAAAGTAAGTAAAGCAAGTAAAGTAAGTAACTGTAAGTAAGTCAGCAAGCAAGCAAGCACGTTAAGGTAAGGTACGGTAAGTAAGTACAGGAAGCAAGGGGAAGGTAGGTAAGGTAAGGTAGTAATGTAAGCAAGTAAGACAGCAAGCAAGTAAATTAGTTAGCCTGTTGTTTGGTTATTGTAACTATTTTCTTTTACTCATATTATTCATAACATTTGTGATATTCACGATTCACGCTATTCATGATGCGATATTTGTGATACTTCAGCTTGTTGTCGTTGTGGACACCAGCAACTGAGATCTTTGGCTTCGATGTTTCTAAAGGCCGCGCTTCAGGCGCTGCCTTTCGTGAGGGAATTCGCGTCTTTTTGAGCCAGGAAGGTTTGAGGGGTTGCCTGTTCACAGGAGCCGCACATAAGGCTGCAGACCCCTGGTTTTTGTTTTCGGTTGGGTTTCTCTCCAGCAGAATTGCACAAGGGTCTCAAATCCAAGAACAAGAGAGAGAACGGAAGCAACCGCGGTTTTGGTCACATGTGATGCGTGGGAGGGGAAGCCACGAGACAACACCCACCAGTCGAGCGGCTCAGGAGGCCCAAAGCACATGGAGTTCCATTCACTCCAGCCTTTTCCCCCCATCTCCCATGCTATG